AATGCCTGGGTGGACGCAAGGGGTTGGAGCAACCTGCTCTAGTGGAAGGTGTCCCTGCCCGTACCAGGGGGTTGGAACTGGATGAGCTTTAAGGTTCCTTCGAACACAAACCAGTCTGGGATTCTATTTCTTACTGCTTATAATTCCAGGCAGATTTCCAGGAAGTCTCAGCAGGGTAAGTAAGTTATTCTGCATTCAGCACCAAAAGCAAGAATTGAACTTGAAAATACTTCAACTTCAGCAAAAGGTAGCACAAGATTAATATTACAGATTGGGGGCAAGGGAGAGAGTTAATTGTAAGACTATCTATTCAGTAAAGTATTTCTACCACACTTGGAGCAAGACAACCTGAATGAAATAAAGATTCTTTAGTCCAACCAAACTAAAACCCGTTCTCCTATAAACTCTTCAAAGGTCTTTAAATAATTTAATTCCTATGCTTTAAAGTCTAATGAGACAGCACAGTTTTTTGGAGAGGTGCCTCAAAAAAAAAAAAAAACAAAACAAACAAAAAACAAAAAACCCACAAAAAACTTAACAAGAGAGGTTGATGTTTGATGCACCAATTGGTTTATAGCTTGCTAGAGCACTGCAGAGGTTTTTTTTTTTTCTGCTGGAACATTTCAGAACATTAAGCATGCTTATTTGTAAGGTACGTAGGAAGGAAAACTTGACTTCTTTTGGGAGATTCCTCTCAATAATCATGTGCCTGTAAGTCAATGGGGCTATCAGCTGCAGCAGCCTGAAACTGTAGCACCAGAACATAATTACCATCTCTTGGCTCATGAAACAGTTGCAATGAATAAATGTCTCCAAATAATTATTCTTATGCTACACAGATTGACAAAAAGGTAAGGAATGGGCAGGCCTCGTAACTGAATTACTCTCTGAGGGAAGGAAATCCCACCACCATAGCTGGATCTTGCATGCACAGAATAATGTGAAGCTTGTCCCTACTGCAGCCTATAGAATACACAGCTAGGATGATGCATACAGTGTGTGTAAATAAACTCTATGGCCTGTCTAGAGTTTTGGCACCACAAGTTTTGCTTTTACTTTTAAGAGTATATTAAACTTATTACTTAGAGATACTGTTGTGTGAGTAAAGTTTTGCTGCCTTTACTCACACGTAGTGTTGGTTTTTATTATGACCCTGAAGTCAGTGGCAGAAGCAGAGGAACCAGCACTCTTTTATCTATATGTCAGTGTTTGAGAAACCAGAGAGTTACAACTGCAAAACCTGCCTGCCTAACTAAAGAAGACTCCGACTCCTGAAGGTGAGGGAACTGAGGTGATTCACTGCTGACACAGAGTTCAGAGATCCCTTTTTCTCCAACTCTGGCCTTGTTGCATCAAAATTTTTGCCTTGAACTTAGCATAAAAGAATAGCTAGCTCATTAAAAGAACACTTGCACAGTTGTTTTGGGGGCTTTGGGGTTTATTTTTTTAAGCCTTCTATAAATGCACATTTATCAGACTGTGACAAAAAAAAAATTAAACCTCTATGAGAAATTCTGTATGAAGCAATTCATTCCAAATACAGCACTGAGACACCCGCACAAAGACATACATTAAAAGCAGCAGTAAAACAGCTTTTAGAAGTTTTAATCTGCCTTTCCATAGATAAAAATTTGAAGTCTCCATTGTTCCTTTTATAGCTACTGACGTTCCTCTCTACAGCCACTGAAATGGTTCTTCACGCCTCACTAGTGAACAGGAAATAATTTGTTGCTTTCTCAACTGCTTTCAGTAGAGCAATGAAACAGCACCAATGAAGAGAACTCTTAAAAGTGTTAAATTTGGTACAATCCATCAAATCATCGGAACCTGAATTACATATCATTTACTCTTCAAAAGTAGCGTGGTAACATGGAGACTCAACACACGATGAGCAAAGTCAAATACACCACCCACCCCCCCACCCCCTCCCCAATAAAAGAACTTGGAGTCCTTTGTGGTCAGGTAAAAGCACTATCTATTGTTTGATTTTCTCCTAAAGAACTCCACACAAGGTAAAAGCCTAGACTGGAAGAAACAAGTTGTCCTGGCAGGACTGAGGTCATGGAGCTAGGCTGTGGTGTCCTGCCTGCATCCATAGAGTATTCCCAACTTCCCAATATTCTTGCAGTGTATTTTGGGGCAGATTAGCTGGCCTGAGAAAACAAGACAAAATTGCCTGACCAAATGTAATGGTTCCTGGAAGCTTCTAGTCTGTAAAGTTGTAACAGTGGTGCGCTCAGGAATCTTTCCAGAGCAGCAGAACACACTGTCAACA